TATGGTACATCATATAAAGGGATATAGTATCAGTGAACTCCGAAAAAGTTGAGGCAGTATTTGGTTGGGAGAAATTAACCTTGGTCAAGGAGATTCGTAGTTTTTTTATGAATGACAGGTTATTACCGTATTTTTGTAGAAAGATTTTATAATCTAGTTGCTCTTTTGACCCGACTCACAAAGAAGAACGTCAAATTTAAGTAGAACGAAGACTGTGAAATGAGATTTTCATAACTAAAGAAGCAGTTGACTACTGCACATGTGTTGGCCTTGCCGAATAGAACATGTGGATGTACAGTTTATAGTGATATCTCCTACCTATGATTGAGTTGTGTTCTGATGTAGCATGAAAATGTCATAGCCCATAGGTCCAAGCAGTTGAAGAGTCATGAGAAAAACTACTTTACTTATGATTTAGAACTTGCTGTGATTATCCACGTCTTGAAGACTTGGCATCATTACTTGTATGAGGAGACTTTTCAAATCTATACCGACCATAAGAACTTGAAAAACATATTCACTTAAAAAGATCTCAACATGCATCAGAGACGATGGATATAACTCCTTAAGGACTACGATTGTAACATTTTATATCATCCGGACAAGAACAATGTGGTAGCCGACACACTCAGTATAAAAAGTACATGTATGTTAACTCACATAATGGTTTTAGAATGCAGAGTAATAGGGGTCGCACAACATATACAACTTCAGGACCTGAAGAGAGTTACATGCTTAGCCCACCTGACTATTCAACCTGAGTTGATATAGAGAATAAATGAAACTCAATTCGCCGATTCCACCATAACAGCTCTCAGGAAAGATGCAGAACATACAGTAAATTCAGAATTTTGAGTATTTGCCGATGGGTTGCTCAGATTTCAGGACAGAGTGTGTGTTTCATGTAACAATGAGTTGAAAAATGACATTATGACAGAGGCTCATAGCTCAAAGTTTGTCATGCATCCCGGAAGCACTAAAATGTATCAAAGTATGCGACCCAAATTTTAGTGGAACGAGATGAAAAGAGAGGTAGTGACTTTGTTTCCAAGTGTCTAGTGTGTCAGCAGGTCAAGACAGAGCATCAACGTCTAGGCGACCTACATCAGTCATTACCGATTCCGGAGTGAAAGTAAGAATACATCAAAATAAATTTCGTGACATGATTGCCTAGGTCACACTCGAGACATAATGCTATTTGGGTAATTATTAATCGGCTCACTAAGTCTTCTCACTTCTTGGCCATCAAGATGACTAACCTCTTAGACAAGCTGATAAGAATGTATATCCGGAAGATAATTAGGTTACATGGAGCACCGGTGATAATAGTATCCGATAGGGACCCTGAGTTCACTTCTCTGTGCTGGTCTAGTTTTCAGCAAGTCATGATAACGAAACTGTCTATTTGTACCACATTCTACCCTCAGATCGATAGACAATCAGAAAGAACGATCTCCACACTGGAGGATATACTTCAAGCTTGGGTTATTGACTTCGGGGGCCATTGGGATGATCATTTACTCTTAATAGAGTTCGCCTACAATAATAGCTACTAAGAAAGTATCGACATGACTCCGTACGAGGCGTTATATGGCCGCCCATGCAGATCACCAATATGTTGAGAAGAGATAGGTGATAGAAAATTATTCAGTCCAAATCTTGTGGAAGAGACTGCAGCCAAAATGATTAAGATCATGAAGAACATTCAGACGACTCAGAGCAGACAGAAGAGTTATACGAACACCCGGATGAGGAATTTAGAATTTGAAAAAGGTGATCGAGTGTTAATCAATGTCACCCCTTTCAAATGAATCAATAGGTTTGACAAGAGAAGGAAACTAAATCATCGGTTTATTGGGTCATTTGAGCTCTTACACAGAATTGGTACAGCCGCCTATAGACTGACACTACTTTCAAAACTATCTAAAGTCCATAATGTATTTCATGTGTCTATGCTACGCAAATATAACTCGGACCACTCTAACATCTCGATCCACGAGCCCCTTTCACTCTAGGAAGACTTGTTCTATGAGGAAGTACTAGTGAGCATTGTAGACCGAAAGAGTAGAATGCCTCGCAATCGGAAAATTTTATTCTTTAAGATCTTGTGACAGAATCACACACAAAGAGAGGCCACATGAGAGATAGAATCAGACTTCAGACCGCGATATCCCCAACTGTTTGATTAAGTGAGAGTGACAAATTTGAGAGACTAAATTTCTTTTAAGGGGAGAGAGTTTTAATACTCGGGCCCAAAAAATTAGATTGGGATAAATTTTATTAATTAAAAAAGTATAAAAAATATATTTATAAATTAATTAATGAAAATTTGTTATATTGAAAAAAATAGGTTGGGGATGAAATTGAAAATAATTTTAGAAAAAATGGATGAAAATTTTGGTTCGGATGATATTTTTGAAAGAAAAGTTAGAAATTAGATGTCAGAACGCAATTAAGAAAAATTTTACCACGTAGTACCGCCCAGTCAGTAGCCTCGACGAACCAAAGTGCGTCGCGTGACAAGACACACTGACTCGGTTTCACGCGGGAGGCCACACTAGTGATCTGTATGCCCCCCAATTAGCGACCCAGAAGCATTCCCACGAGCGTGGACGGTTTGGATCCGTTCCCTCATCAGGTGCGATCGGACAGTCGCGATCAAATACGATAAAACGGTCTAGATTTGTTTCCTCCTTAAGTGTGATCGGACGATCGAGATCAAACGCGATGAACAATCCATATTCGTTTTCTCTTTAGACACAATCGAACGGTCGAGATTAGACGCGATGAACGATTCAGATTAACATGATATGGGTATAAATATATTCGCATCACACTAAAATCGAACCTTAGCTGCCAGCCCCCCACCGAATAAGAAGAACCAGTTGTTAGAGAAGGGAGCCGACCGCCGCCCGTCGCCGCACCGGAGTTACCTCCGACCACTAAAAAAGGTAAAAATTCTCTCACCCGCTCGGAATTCGATATCGAGAACCCCTGTGGCCATATTGGGGTGAAAAGAATAGCGGGAGACCTGAAAACTACGGGCAAAGCCCGGCGGAGCTGCTGTGGATAAAACCTGTAACCGCCTTCGATGAGCCCCTTTCCGTTTTTCGTTTCGTGCGATTCTTTCACCGTTTTGTTCACCATTTTATCTTCTATAAGTTGACCGAAGAAAATTACTCAGCCGCGAAGGTAAGCGTGCGGAACCGCTACACCAGAAAATTTGACCACCAGTAGATTTTTGTTTTCTGATTTTTTTTCCGGCCAACCAAGGTCTCCTAACGTATTTTCTTGCAGGGATGGATATAAAATCGACCAAAATTGGTCAAAATCGGCCAAAAACGGTCATATCGAGGCAAACTGCCACTGCGGATGACAGTGGCGTCACTGGAGCACGGGGGTGTCACCATGTCAGAACCCTGAAATTGGCTGAAAAAAATTTTTAACACCGATTTAAAATATTTGGAGTATTTCTATGTATGTGAAATGTGTTTTAATCCTTGTAAAAAAAATTAGAAAACTTGTGGGACGCCAGTAGGCGCAATAAAAAGTTCGATATTTTGGACACTGATTCGGGTAAGAATCCTTTACCTTATTCTTTGTTATGGAATTGAAACTTAATAATCAATAATGTAGTATTTTGTACAATTTAGAAAACTCTGAGAATAATTGTAGGTTACTAATGGAGTCGAAATTAGTTAGTCATTTAGTTGTCTTGTTTAGCTGATTATTGACTTTACAACTTTAAATACATTATAATATACTGAAATGATTAAATGATTCAGTTATACTTCCTTGATGTATATTTATTTATTATCTTGCATGATTTACGGTTGGTTTGTGAAATTGAAAATTAATATGCAAACGGAAAATTGATTGATTATGTGAATTGATGAATGATTGTCTTACTATATATCATGAGAGATGGTGGACGGATCAGGTACATAGGGAACCCTACTGTGAACGTTGTCACATACTGGACGGGATATCGATAGATGATATTTTTAGCGCTGATACCGGATGGGATATGATTATTCACTCGATATATATATATATATATATTTTTTTTTTCTCAGTTATTACAATTATTTTACTATATGTTATCAATATTTAAAATCTCAAACACATAGTTATTTGTTAGTACGAGAAAATATTATAATTTTATTAATTATGCAGTTTCATATTTTATATGAAATTTTTTTTTTATAAACTAAATAATCGAGTGAAATTTATAACAGTTTACAAAAGAATATTTTTTTTACTTATTTTTTAAAAATTGAATAATTTTTGTATAATTACTTAAAGACAAATTTAATTTATAATTAATTTTATAAACACAAATTAGAACTTGTGTGCTTTATTATATAACTTATGTTACTCAATTTCACATTATGTGCTGAATTTTTTGAATTTAATTTTTAAAATATTTATTAATTATAGTGGTTGGTATATATCATGCATATATTTATGTAATTAATTTTATGATTCAGCTAATTATTTTGTAGTTATATATACTACACATTA